CATACATATACATAAATTGAGAGAGAACTAATATAAAAGTATTAGTACCATGTTTTTATTTATTTATTTTGCTTGCACATTTACCATGGTAACATCATCATATCCTCATCATAGATATCATGTAAACACCATGGTACATGATTATTGTAATCATTCAGTTCCATAGTATATATGAAGGTACCACAGTATTACCATCTGATACCATCAAAGTACCATGGTATCACCAGAGTACTTTTTCTGAGGCAATTCTTTCATCTTGCCTGTAATGTGGATGCACTCAAATGCAAATGTGCATGTGTGTGGCGTAAAAACCCAACAGTGATACACTGATTACCCATAATACCTTTCTTTTATCTCTAAATAGATTAGCTTGATAACACTCTTACGTGTTAAATGAGAGGATTTGCTCGTTTATCCAGGTGTCAGTTTTTCTTCTCTCTGCGTTTCAGAGCTGCAGCTCAAAGTCAAGATTCTGCCTTCAAGTCACCGTTGTCTGAATGATCATATTTACGAGATGAGAGCACATGAACGGCACCATAACCCTTGGAAAATGTATTTGTGGCACTGCCAGAAGTTTGCCACAGGGGCTTCCTGAAATGCTTCGTTTTCGTAAGGGAATGTCTTAATTAGCAGTGAGGAAACTGGAGATTTCTGGGTTTTTCTGAAGCAAAATCATCCCAGAACCTAATTGGTACTGATGATAATAAGGTTTGATGAAAATAACTGTCGACAAAACTATTTAGTTTGTATATATGTTGTATATATGTTGAGCTCTTGTTACATTATAGTCCTCCACGTCCGCTGCGTTCTCAAAACTCTGGCCATTTGATAATACCTAGAATATCAAAATCAACTGCGGGCGGCAGATCCTTTTCCTATTTAGCGCCCAAACTCTGGAATAACCTACCTAACATTGTTCGGGAGGCAGACACACTCTGTCAGTTTAAATCTAGATTAAAGACCCATCTCTTTAACCTGGCTTACACATAACACACTAATACGCTTCTAATATTCAAATCCGTTAAAGGATTTTTAGGCTGCATTAATTAGGTCAACCGGAACCGGGAACACTTCCCATAACACCCGATGTACTTGCTACATTGTTAGAAGAATGGCATCTACGCTAATATTAGTCTGTTTCTCTCTTATTCCGAGGTCACCGTTGCCACCAGATCCAGTCTGTATCCAGATCAGATGGTCACTGCAGTCACCCGGATCCAGTACGTATTCAGACCAGATGGTGGATCAGCACCTAGAGAGGACCTCTACAGCCCTGAAAGACAGCGGAGACCAGGACAACTAGATGAGCCCCAGATACAGATGTTATTCCCCTGTAAAGACCTTGTCTCAGACGACCACCGGGACAAGACCACAGGAACCAGATGAGTCTTCTGCACAATGTGACTTTGCTGCAGCCCTTTAATTGAACTGCTCCCCGACTGAGCCTGGTTTCTCCCAAGTTTTTTTCTCCATTCTGTCACCGATGGAGTTTTGGTTCCTTGCCGCTGTCGCCTCTGGCTTGCTTAGTTGGGGACACTTCATTTCCAGCGATATTGTTGACTTGATTGCAAGTGATTGCAAAGATACTATTTAAACTGAACTGATGATGACATCACTGAATTCAATGATGAACTGCCTTTAACTGAAAAATTTGTGTTTACTATTGTCATTTTTGCATTATTGACACACTATTTTCCTAATTAACGCTGTTCAGTTGCTTTGACACAATCTGTATTGTTAAAAGCGCTATATAAATAAAGGTGACTTGACTTGACTATATTTTATGTACTGTTGATGAAGAATCGTAATAAAACTTGCAGAAAATCATTCTATAATGAACGTCCTTCGCTCTTCATTTTGCATTTTGTCTCATTAGCATTTAAAAGTCTTTGGCAGTATGTGGAAAACATAGAGAAAGCCATATAAAGTTCCTCGACATGTCTATTTGGATTCGACCAAAATCGTTTTAACGCACATCATGTCGTAATTTATCGTAAGCATAAGTGCATTTACGGCGGTTGAAAGACCGTTTCACACTATTTGTTCAACGTTTGTATCAGTGCAACAAGATATTTGCAAAACAAAAGGCTCGATTAAAGCTGACGACGTGGTTCAGAAGTCAATATTTGCTAATGATGTTTGTAAAAGAATATGCTCATTATACACATCGCCGGTTAAGCCCTCACCTTTTTCAATTTATAAAACCCCTTTTTATGCTTCAGTGAACCAAACAGGAACAATTATCAAAAACAAACGAAAATACCAGCTTACAGAAATAACAGCTTCGGATATTTTGTCAAATTAAATGCGCTTACGCTGCGGTTTCATTGTGATGGCAAACTGTAATCGATTGGATGCAGAGTTTTTGGCTTAAAAAGTACAAAAGCCACTGATGGGTGAAAAGCTATCAAGAAGTTTATGAACACTCTTTCAGTTTTCTTTTTTGGCATATGATTAATAGCCTGTAAACACACAAAACGTGTCACTCAATCATCAGTTGGACATGTAAATAGGAAATATCACATCCAAACCCTCCAAAAAAGCAGTTCGGATGAGGACTCTGATCATAAATCAAGAAGAGAAACTATAAGAGGCGACGTGCCCCGCTTTGCCTTTCCTCGGAAGGCTTTTGAGAGAAAAAAGAGCTTGAGTCTGATATCTTGATATGCTCATAATCGAAAGCCCCAGGGTATGAATATAAATTTAACGAGCACAAGAGGGAAGAGCTCTCGCTGGTCGCCTCTAATCTATTAAGTGGGAAAAAGGTGGGAAAGACTAGGCTGGACTGACTTTTAGGATGCATTACTAATGTTTTGTGTTAGTATCAGCTTTTCTTTGGTATTTTATATCTGCTTTGGATCATTTCAACCCTAATAATGTTCACACTTCCAGCTTATTTATGTAATACCTTTCAACTGAGGTTGGAGAACAAATTTTCTCAATAACAATGACAAAAATAAAATACAATTTAATTAAATGATAAGACAAACAAACAAAAATATTAATTTATTTATTTATTTATTTCAACCCTAATAAATGTCACATTTCTTACTTCTTTGTGTAGCACCTTTGGATTGAGGTTGGAGAACAAATGTTCTCAAAGAAAAAAAAAGAAGATAATAAATAATTAAATATTATATTATTAATAAATAAATGACTAAATAAGTAAGTAAGTAAATAAATAAATACATTTCTACCTTAATAAAGATTACATTTCTGGCTTGTTTGTGTAATACTGTAATGTGGTGTTTTGGGTTGTGTAACGAACTCAGTCCACTGAAGGCGAGCGTAGTGAGAACCCAAGTGCAGTTTATTTACAGAGTGATCCAAACATCCAAACAATAATCCGAGACTTGACTTGACATGAACAGACTTGACTTGACATGAACAGACTTGACTTGACATGAACAGACTTGACTTGACATGAACAGACTTGACTTGAAACACCACATTACAAATACCTCTGAAAGGGAAAATAAATAAATAAATAAATAAATTTCTACCCTAATAAAGATGACATATCTGGCTTGTTTGTGTAATACCTTTGAAAGGGATAATAAATAAATAAATTAATTAATTAATTAATTTCTACACTAATAAGGATGACATATCTGGCTTGTTTGTGTAATACCTTTGAAAGGGATAATAAATAAATAAATTAATTAATTAATTAATTTCTACACTAATAAGGATGACATATCTGGCTTGTTTGTGTAATACCTTTGAAAGGGATAATAAATAAATAAATTAATTAATTAATTAATTTCTACACTAATAAGGATGACATATCTGGCTTGTTTGTGTAATACCTTTGAAAGGGATAATAAATAAATAAATTAATTAATTAATTAATTTCTACCCTAATAAAGAGGACATATCTGGTTTGTTTGTGTAATACCTCTGAAAGGGAAAATAAATAAATCAATACATTTCTACACTAATAAAGATGACATATATGGCTTGTTGTGTAATACGTTTGAAAGGGATAATAAATAAATAAATTAATTAATTAATTAATTTCTACACTAATAAGGATGACATATCTGGCTTGTTTGTGTAATACCTTTGAAAGGGATAAATAAATAAATTAATTAATTAATTAATTAATTAATTAATTTATTTATTAATTTATTTATTAATTAATTAATCAATTAATCAATCAATCAATCAATCAATCACTCAATCAATTAATTAATTAATTTCTACACTAATAAAGATGACATCTGGTTTGTTTGTGTAATACCTTTGAAAGGGAAAATAAATAAATAAATAAATAAATTTCTACCCTAATAAAGATGACATATCTGGTTTGTTTGTGTAATACCTTTGAAAGGGATAATAAATAAATAAATAAATAAATTTCTACCCTAATAAAGATGACATATCTGGTTTGTTTGTGTAATTCCTCTGAAAGGGAAAATAAATAAATAAATTTCTACACTAATAAAGATGACATATCTGGTTTGTTTGTGTAATTCCTCTGAAAGGGAAAATAAATAAATAAATTTCTACACTAATAAAGATGACATATATGGCTTGTTTGTGTAATACGTTTGAAAGGGATAATAAATAAATAAATACATTTCTACACTAATAAATATGACATATCTGGCTTGTTTGTGTAATATCTTTAAAAGGGAAAATAAATAAATAAATAAATAAATAAATTTCTATAGTAATAAAGATGACATATCTGGCTTGTTTGTGTAATACCTTTGAAAGGGAAAATAAATAAATAAATAAAATCTCTTTTTGACACAAAAAGCAGATCTTGGCACAGTTTGTAGCGGCTTATTGCTTTAATTTGCCTCAGTCTGAGAACACTACCGCAACGATTTTCATAAAAACACATGTTCAGGAATGACTGGACATACTCACCATATTGAGTGACTGTGGCAGAAGTCTAGAGCTGAGATGATCTGTCTGAAGAACTTTCGAGCTTCTTTGGGTGTTAATCGGCCCTTCTTTACCAGATAGTCAAACAGCTCTCCACCTGACACGTGCTCTAAAACCAAATACCTGCAAACAGAAACAAGACTGAGAGAAATGGCATTACCGATCCTGATATAATTCTTACTGAAATAAGAAGTTTGGGCACAACATATCGAAGGGCCTAACTTTGTTTTATAACAGTCAGCAGTCTTCTGTGTACAATGAACCATGGCTGAATTTGGAATAGCATTCTATGCATACCACTTCTTAAATGGGTCATATGATGCTGCTAAAAAGAACATTATTTTGTGTATTTGGTGTAATGAAATGTGTTTATGTGGTTTAAGGTTCAAAGAACACATTATTTTCCACATACTGTAAAAAGAGAAGGAAAAATTGAAATCGCATCATATGACCCCTTTAAATATAAAAATAAAATAAAAAATTGTAGTATGCTAAAGTATGCTGGTATGTTATTCCAAATTCAGCCCACAACTTACCTGCTAATGTTAGTCAGTTGCAGTTGTTATAGGCTACGTTCACACTGTCAGTTTTTGGGATTGACAACCGCATTTACTTACAGGTGTGAGTCTCGAAATGTCCCATTCACACAGCAACTTACAGTAGAGTCTCAAATACTGTTTGAATGAATGTGCAACGGGAGTCAAGCCCGTTTTCCTTACCAGTTACCATACAACTGAAAGTCTTATCACTTTCTGACACGACAAGAGTCCAATCGAGCTGGGGGTTCATCTGTCAAATCTTCATCAACCGACAGCAGCTTTTATATTTGTGTGGAGAGCGGAGCAATTGAGTCGCGCGCAGAACACAAACCTGACGGGTTAGGAGGCTGGATCTAAAACTTTCCGATGACACACAGCTCATTTCTCCGTCACTGTAAGTTACTGAAACCACGCAACACACGGTAAACGCGCGTTTGTGCACTCTCACACTGTATGACCTGACAGACAACTAGTCGTCCAGTCATGTTCCATTCACACAGCGCGTTTTCCGAGAATGCGGCTGTGAGTCCTGAAAATTTACGGGTGTGAGTTCGGTTACAGAATGCGGTTGTCACGCATGAAAATAACCGTGCTGTTTGTGAACGTAACCGTATTAAGGACTCAAATACAGGACAGACATGACAACCGTATTCTGCTGCGGTGTTGTGTGAAGGTGAGTGTGAAGATAAAAGGGATACCAGCAAGTAAACACAATAAAACTTTTAGTGGGTTTTAGTGGGTTTTAGACTTGTTAAGTGTCCTTGATGATAACATGCTGTTATGGTTTGAAATTGGGCTGTTTCTGTAAGAAGTTCTGTCAGGGAACGTTAGGAGGACTAGAGTTTTTGTGGAGAAACTGACTTCAGATACAAACACAGTCAAAAGATGCGAGTCAGTGACATAAACAATAATTAAACAACATCTGAGCATGTGTGAGTTACTCTTCCAAGCCTAAACAAAAGCCAGCGAGTGGTTTCTGTGTTAGAAGCTGACAGCTTGGTGTCATATTGTGTTAGATTTATCTCCACTCCATTCTTTCTTTTTGTAACTAAACTGAATCTCAGGCCATTACAATTATCCCTCTGTTCCATCACTGTCATTTTCTAACGCTCAAACGACACGATCACGAGTGGGAGACTGGTTTTACACAACAGCTCAATACACAAGTTAATATGGAGATACTTACATTTTAGACATATTGCCACCTGTCTTTTTTTGCTCCATTAGCAGAAATATTTCTAAATGAAGTAACAGCAATCAACCACAGCTACTCAGAGCAACACACAATAGTGGTGTTTTGAATCATTGTTTGAACGAATCGGTTGAGTGAATGATTCAATGAATCACTTGGCGCCACCTACTGGCATAACCTGATACGAGTCACTAAAAATAAGTATTAAAGGGGTCATATGATGCGATTTCAAGTTTTCCTTTCTCTTTGGAGTGTTACAAGCTGATTGTGCATAGATAAGATCCCTGAAGTTGCAAAGACTAAAGTCTCAAAACCAAAGAGATATTCTTTATCAAAGTTAACAGTGTAAATAGCATAGAATGATTTTCATATTCATTTACCATGGTATATACATAAGAATGGTAAAAATGGTAAAAAAAATATAAAAAAGTACAGTATTACCATTATACCAAGTAAATTATAAAACCCATGCATTGCTTCAAAACCAAAGAAAATATAAACAGATGAGTGATGAGGTAAACAGAAATAGTTTTTGTGAAGATTTGTTGATGCCAAAAAATGCTAAGTGAATTATCATGGTGTTTACATCAAGGATGATTCGTGGCCCCATTAGCAGCTCTCAAACTGCTGTGACTAACAGGCTGCTTGACACTTTCATCATTAGGAGTGTTTTAGCACCAGCAGAATCACTCTCTTACAAAACCTTTTAAGATCAAACACATTTACACTTGTATTTCTGCCAAACTTTTAGGCTATATACACCAAACTTGTTTTTGCTCTGTCCTCTCACATTTTGGGATTGCAATCCTAGGCATATTTCATCTTTGTTAAATAATTTTTATTAACAATATCTTTATAGATAATACTAAATAGAAGATAGAATACTAGAAGATACACTACACTACACTACACATGAATACAAAAAGCACCGCAATATTTAATCAAAATACTTATACTTACAAATATTTTTTATTTTCGTAGACGTCGTGCAACTTTAAGACATGGGGATGTTCTATTAGCTTCAAGATGGCGATTTCTCGCTCCACCTGTGGAGAATAAGAGATAAAAAAAAAAGATATTGAATTCACAGAAAAAGATGTTTAAACAGTTCTTGCAAAATGTGTGTTTACACAGGCTTTATTAATTAATTTATTTATTTATTTTTTAATAAAGACTATACAATCCAGTAATTGGCCATAACTATAGTAAAGAACAATTTTCATTCATTTATTTATCTTTTATAAATTAATACTGACAAAACTCATAATGGAGCAAACCACTGATTTGAGACAAGTTAGACAGTTAGTTGTAAGATCAAGCTGCATATTTCTGATTCACTAAAAGAACTGACTTATTAGAGTCATTTGTTCAGGAATCAGACTGTACTGGTCACGTTATATGTTTTTGATTCACTAAAAAGAACCGACTCATTAAAGCAATTTAATTAGGAATCGGACTGCCTGGTCGTGTTCAGTGTTGGGGGTAAAATATTACAAGTATCATGAGTTACGTAATCAGATTACTTTTTTTCAAGTGACTAGTAAAGTAATGCATTACTTTTAATTTACAAGAAAATATCTGAGTTACTTTTTCAAATAAGAAATGCCAGTTACGCTCTCCTGTCCTCATGTTGAGAGAAATTGGGCGAAAGTGCAGAGGCCTTATGTGAAAGAGTGTTGAACTTTCTACTTCTACGTCCTATTCTTATTATTCAAAGGGCTTTTACATTTAGAACATTTTATATTAAAAACAAAGAAGCAAGCCCAGCTCAGATTTAAAAAGTAGCCTAACACAAAAGTAACGCAACGCATTACTTTCCATAAAAACTAACTAAAATAATTAGTTACTTTTTTAAGGGAGTAACGCAATATTGTAATGCATTACTTTTAAAAGTAACTTTCCCCAACACTGGTCGTGTGGTGTGTTTATGTTTTACCAAAAAGAATCGACTCATTAGATTCATTCATTTGGGAATCGGACAGTACTGGTCGTGTTTTACGTTTTTGATTCACTAAAATGAACTGGCTCACAAGAGTCATTTATTTGGAATTGACTGCACTAGTTGCACCATGTTTTTGATTCACTAAAATAACTGACTCATTGGTGTCATTGTTCAGGCATTGTATGTTTTTGATTCACTAAAAAGAATCAACTCATTAGAGTCATTCATTTGGTAATCAGACTGTACTTGTCGTGTTTTATGTTTTTGATTCACTAAAAAGAATCAACTCATTAGAGTCATTCATTTGGTAATCAGACTGTACTTGTCGTGTTTTATGTTTTTGATTCACTAAAAAGAATCAACTCATTAGAGTCATTCATTTGGTAATCAGACTGTACTTGTCGTGTTTTATGTTTTTGATTCACTAAAAAGAATCAACTCATTAGAGTCATTCATTTGTGAATCGGACTGTACTGGTCGTGTTTTAATGCGTCTGATTCACTAAAACAAACCGGCTCCTTGGAGTCATGCATAAGGAATGAGACTGCACTGTTCGTGTTTTATTTTTTTAATTCATTAAAAAAAATGGCTCACAAGAGTCATTCTTTCAGGAATGGGATTATTAGTTGCGCTGTATGTTTTTGATTCACTAAAAGAACCAGTTTTGAAAAGTCATTTGTGTGAGAATTGAACTACGCTGTGTTTTTATTATTATTATTACCCAAAAAGAAGCAGCCACCAAAAACCATTTAACCCTGAATGGTTTGGTCAAACCAAATAGACAACATTTCTGTGATTTGGACCGAGTGACCTTGAATTATGTCACTGCAAATGCAATGTTTGAACTGATGCAGCCAAATCTTATCCTCCATCAGGCTGCTGAACTCTGAGAGGTTTCATAAATGTAAAATGAAATATGATGACAGATTAGCAAAAAAATAAAACCCTCAAGTTCATAAGTCCATGTCAAGTAGAGCAAACCTTTGCAGAATTCTTCAGTAATCGTCTATAGCGCTACTTTGATACATAAGCATCCTTGTCAGTCTACTGAAATAAACTGATTCCCACATGCACAAGATAAACATATTTTCTCGTTGAATCAAGCTTAAGACCATGAAAGATCTCTATGACCTGACAGGGACCTAAAGGAAATCTTAAAATCGCAAGCACTTCGCAAAGAACTGAGCTCATAAGTCACAGACTGAACCTAAGATTGTGCCAGATGTAAGCAAGACAATCGTGTTTGATTTGCATCACTGTCTTCTGGAATATTCCTAGCATGCACACCTGCCACTGCAGATCAGAGTGGAGGATGGGGACGTAGATGGTATTTCCTGAACCCACCTGACCCTAATGTTCCACAGCAGCACTTTGATCTCGCCTCTCAAAACCTCCTGAATTACTTGCGCTCATCCAGACTCACTACACTACAGTACCGACCGCTCATGTGACTCGTCTCAACGGTCCCCAGTGCTTTGAACTCAGTGGAGTCAGCCTTCAAGCTTCAGTTGTAACTCTACAGCCTGACTTTGACCCCGTTTGCTACTGACCTTTCAAATCGCAGCCAATGATATACAGAAAATTAGCATTATGTATCATGTATGACACATCAAGAGATTCAGAAAAAAACATTCCAAATACTACAAGATTTTTTTTCTTCCCTGAACATAATGAAAATTTCCACCACATCTCAACATTTGAAAATTTTTGGAATAAAATGGCTATGGAATAAAAATGCTATGGTTAAATAGATTGCTATTTTGAATTGAATTTTATGTATCCTAAATACATAAAATTAAACAATAATTTTACTTTTTTTCTGTATAATTTGACACAATTGGACAATCCAAACTTAATAATAATATAATAATAATAATATCCAAACAATCCAAACTTGACTGGAAATGACATACAATAAAAAATATTCTGCTCAAAATTATATTTACCATGATTTTTTACACTACTCTTTGGGTTGGTACGTTTTTTTTTTATGTTTTTATGTCGTATGTTCACTAGGGCTGCATTTATTTGACCAAAAATCTAGTAAATACAGTAATATTGTGAAATATTATTACAATTTAAAATAATTGTTTTCTATTTGAATATATTGTAAAATGTCATTTATTCCTGTGATGCAAAGCTGAATTTTCAGCATCATTACTCCAGTCTTCAGTGTCACATGATCATTATAATAGCCTGATTTGCTGCTCAATAAATATTTCTTATCAATGCTGAAAACAGTTGTGCTGCTTCATATTTTTTGGGAAACCATGATAAATTTTTTTAATGAATCTTTGATTAATTAAAAGTTCAAAAGAACAGTATTTTTTTGAAACCGAAATCCTTTGTAACATTATAATGTCTTTATTGTCACTTTTGATCAATTTAATACAAAAAATCTTACTGACCTGACGGAATAGTAGTGGTAAAAATCACGGTAAAAAGTTACCAAGAGTTAAACATGAACTTCATATAACAAAAGAAAAAGCTGAAATCTGTTAGATTTAATAAAATCAACCCCTGGGGCATAAAGTACAACCTAAAGTTAAAGAAACCCAATTCTGTTCCCCACAAGGAGAACGATCGCCACCGGTCCCCCTTAGCAAAGCACTTAAACCCAGGTTTCTCCAGAGGGGACTGTCACTGGAATCTGTGCCGCTGTTCTATGCTGAAAGTCATGGAAACACATTCAGCCCTGCTACATGTGGCAAAAACATAAAGATCATGTGCCGTGCTAATCCAATCTATTATAACATGCTATGACTAGCCTCAGTATTCTGGTAAATATCTGGATTTATTTGGCTTCATGAACTGACATCATCTGCTCAACATTGAGTCAAAGTCCTTCACTAGCTGTTTTAATCAGGCATACAGATGTGATGACTATTCAGGGAATAAACAATCTGGCCAATGGCTGAAGAGCATGCTGGAGCAGACATGGAAATCCAAAGCCATCTTGACAAACGTGGCACCAGACCAAACCTCGCTGAATGGCTGATCCAAAGCCAGTCCGAAGAGCCAAGCAGGGAATTTGGCTGAGTGGAATGTCATTCAACACAAGGATGTGCCACAGGATCTCTGCTGAGCATAAACCGCACTCAGGGGATTGAGGAAATCTGTACTGTTGAGGAATACTCGATAAAAGCAAATTAAGTCAGGCTGAGGATGTCTGTAATAGCAAGAAAAAGCTATCTGTTAGCATTACAGCACCATTCATCTCAATGGCAGTAGCTCTACAGGCACATGCCAAACGAGAAGTTTGTGTGCTGGCATATTTGATCAATTCCAGAAATTTTTTTTTAGCAAATCACATAAGCTATAAAAAAGCAGAAACCAATCATCTCTTATATATATATATA